ATAAGAACCCCTCTGGTACCTGCTACTGGGCTGAGAAGTTCCACTGTGTGGCAAAGAGCTGTAGTGGAAAGTGCACTTTGAGTCAGGCAGTCTGGGGTTAAGTCCGGGCTTGCTTGCTTTCTTAAAATGTTGTGACTCAGGCAAGCTCATTCAACTGGAGGTATCCCTTCGACGTATCACCTAGAGGCAGTGGCTGGCACATAATTATGGCATGCGATAAATATTTGTTGAAAAAAATGAATGTACATTCATGACTCAGTTTCTTACTCTGTATAATGGGGACAATAATATAACTTATAGGGATAAATTAAGATTAGTTGAGATTTAAATATGTTAACAAACGTTTTAAAATGTTAGACACACTGGAAGGAATTCAACATGTGCAGTTATAGTAACCATGTACCAGGGAATAATTTAAATACGTCACAAAGATTGTGAACCTGGGGTACCATGTCCTGAGTCAGACTCCAGAAATAGAACTGTTCTAGATTATTCATGATTAAATTTTCACTTCTATAAGGAACTGGAGAAGCAAGGAAGAGAGAGAGAAACATTTATAATAGTGGGTGCATGATCCTGGCTGTATATTAGATTCACATGGGGAGCTTCTAAAAATTGACAATTAAGTCAAATCCTGGGTCATGGGTCTTGAGCATGGGTATTTTTAAAAACTGCTCCCTGTGATTCCAAAGTGTAACCAAGAGGGAGAACTCTGACTTATGGACACCTATTACACGCCAAGTATTGTGTTCGACGTTAGACAAATACCATCTCCTTCAGTCCTCACAACAACTCTACATATTAGGTATTTTATCCCTATTTCACAGGTAAGGAAATCAAGGATCAGAGGCTAAAGAAACATCTCCAAGGTCACCAACCAGTGTGATGGATCCTAGCGTGGAAACCTAACCTGGGACCGTCTGACTTCGAGGCCAGTGCTCTTTTCGCTGCTTTGCACTACATCTGGAACGATCCTGTAAGAAGGGCATCAGAAGAGGGCATTGGGCCAAGAAGAAGGAGACAAGGGAAGGCGCCAGGGACCATCTGAAGTTTGGTCACTGGGGCAAGGCATAGCAGTATTACCAGAACAGAAAGGTGAAGTCCAGAATGCCCCACCTTATCTCCAACTGGTCCCCCATTGGGCTAAGCCTGGGCTTGCAGTAGGCTCACCGGCCCCCGTGGTACACACAGAGCCCAGCAGCGTTGGACAGCATAGGCATGTGCTTCCTCGCGTGGCAAAGGGTCATTTATAACGGAAAATATGGGAGTTGTTTTCCTTCCCAAGTAAGTGATATTTCTTGGCAAAATGCCAAGAAAATTCCTGACAGTGTCAGAAATGGAGTTTCTAAGTGTATTTCTAGTTAAGAAAGATTGGTTTTGTGGCAGTAATTGACAGCTTCCCATGTGAACCAAATCCAAAATGCTTACAAAATGTCAGAGTGTGCATCCAAGACAAACTAGCCCTCTTGAACATCTGTAATTGTGACATGGATGCAATTCTCTTTGGGTCTAGAAAATAAATTTTCATTGTGTATACCACCATCCCATAACTAACTATAAAATGTGAAACCCAAAGCTTGGATGGAGACAAACCCAATGTTTCTGTTCTTCTATGAAAGAATTATATGTTTCCCCTTTAAAACTATCTCCCAAAACAATTGGGCAGGAGTGGGGGGAATAGCACATTTTTGGGTTATAAATTCAGTTTGTTTCTCCTGGGCTCAAGCCATACATTTGAGTTGGTCATCCAGGGCATATTTCAACAATTGGATAGTCAAATAAGAGACCTTGGGGAATAAAATCTCTGCACAGTTAACTTTGTAATCATGTAAGCAGTTTGGACTACCCATAGTTTTTACAAATTGCCATTAAACTATTGGGAAGTGATCTAATCTTTCTGAGAGTTTCCTCATCTGTAAATGAAGGGGTATGGGGGTAGGGCTTGATGATATCCAGAGACCTTTCCAGTCCAGAAATTCCATGCTTCTCTGAAACTCTACTGATTGAATTTAAAATAATGTTTCTTTTTTTTTCCAGAAAAATAAGTTATTTTTATTTATTAAAAGACTGGTTCAATAGAACCATTTCCCCCAATTTTTTTGGCTTTTTATATGGCAGTGATTTTGTAATGTAACTTTCTATATGGGGAACATAAAGATATTTAGTCTCCACTCTAGCAAGGGTGATAGAAATTTTTTTTTTTTTTAAAGAAGCAAGTAGCAGCAAAAAAGTGTTTAGATTATACCAAGAGCAGTAAATGATTAAGAGAAAGACATAAATTTCAGATAAAAGTAGAAATGGATTCTTGGACAGCTTGAACATGAAATTAATAAAAAGGAAAATATCCAACCACGTTGAAAAAGATTTAAATTTCTTGCCAGTTTCACACAAAATACTGACATCAACTAAGATAACAAAAACTAATAATATGCCACTACATCCTGGGCATCAGTAACAAACTAGTTAATAGGGGTCATTAATTTAAAGAGTATTTAAGACTAGTCACTACCCAAGAAAACTTGAAATGTTCTGAAATTTTATAGCTTATATATGAAAGAAACTTGGGAGAGAACTTCCCAAATTTGATAACGATCCTAAAAATGTACTTCACCTTACCATTAACAAGGTATAAAACTTAAAGAAAATTTTCCAAGCCATCTAAAATAATGTTTCTTAAATTAAGGACTGGGCTCCAAAGTAGGGCTTAAAATGTAATATTGTATATTAGAAACAACAGAGACTTGAGAGCCAGCCAGACATGCATACAAACCATAGGATGTTCTGCCACTTCCCATGTGAACCATCACTTTGAGCCTCAGGTTCCTCCTCAATAAAATGGAAATAAGTGATGAGAGTTACTGTGAGGATTAAAGGAGAGACTCTACATATAAATAGTACAGTAGTGCTAGTAGGTGTCATTATCGTTATTATGATTAACGAGATGGTCTGACTTCCTCAGCCACCTAGATTCTCCCTCTACTGTGCACTACTTAGATTTTGAAGATAAGGAATTATGTTGAGAAAGTGAGACCAGAATTAGGATGCACCACAGCTTTCTTATATAGGTGGTGGCATGGGGAAGCTATAGCTCGGAAAATGTGGAGGACGACTGAGGAAGAAAAACTAATTTAGAATAACATAGCGATGTTGAGTGTACGCTTCGTGCCGAGGTTTCGGAGGCTGATAACACCCCTTCCTTCCTGTTCCAAATTTGGCGCCCACTGAGAGGTAGACACAAAGTCACATACATGGAGATCAAAGTGAGACTTTGCTACTCATAAAGCTGGCTTGGAGGACAGAGATTAAGCACATGGCACATGCATCCTAACATGGCACCTAATTTAAGACTCTGCACAGCTCCCTCAGAAGGGCTGCACCACCGTGGGCCATCCGCACAAGGACCCGCTTTTCTAAGCTCACTTGTGGAGTTGCAGAGTCATCCTCTTCCCCTGTAGTGGGGACACTGGGCTGAGTTCCTTCTCCCAAACGTACCATTCAGGTAAGTCTGGTAGCCCAGGGAAGAGAGAGTGAGGGACAAAAGAAGCTCCTGGAAGGGAAACTCTCAAACTTTTTTTCCCCTCCTCTCTCCTCCTGGGAAATGGAGTGGTTAATCCTTTCCTTCTATGGAAACCTAAGGGGAGGTGGGGAGGAAGTGGGCCCCCCAGCTAACATTTCTTATCTTGGATCTTCATGCTTTATGCTTGCCTGGAACTGTTGGAATGTTTTACCAAATGAGGGTGAAAGAGAATTTTATTCTCTGCTTTTTATTCCTTTCAATTGATCTTAGATATGAGAATTTTGTAGGTAAAGCCTATACACACAGAAAGATATATAGATAGATGACAGATAGGTAGATATAGATGTATAGATACTTGACTACTATAGTGGACGTATTTTTTTTAACATGCTTTTTCTTCTCCCAAATTTTTATTTTAAATAATTTATAGGATCTCAATACTGAAGAAAATTGCTTTGAAATGCTGACCTAGAATAAATAGATGGCCAGGTAGTTTTCCAGCAAAAATGGGTTTATTTGGGATCAGCAGAGAATTGTAATTTGGGGTCTGTAACCATGGTGAGTCACATGCAAGTCCCAGCACAGTGAAGAAAGGAGAACTCTTATCAAGGGGAAAGGATGTTGGGAGGGCTGGAGTAAATAAAGAGTCCATCGGTTTTCACTGGTTGAGTTATTGCCAAGAAAGAAGAGAAGTCTTTTTCCTGTTGGGCTCTACTATCATGGCAGGATATGAGGGCTCTCTCTTCTGGTCTCTCAATTCAATTTTTTTTTCTTTTTTTATTAGTTATCTATTTTATACATATTAGTGTATATATGTCAACCCCAATCTCCCAATTCATCCCCCCTGCCCCTGCTTTCCCCCCTTGGTGTCCATTCGTTTGTTCTCTACATCTGTGTCTCTATTTCTGCCCCGCAAACCAGTTCATCTGTACCATTTTTCTAGATTCCACATATATGCGTTAATATACGATATTTGTTTTTCTCTTTCTGACTTACTTCACTCTGTATGAGAGTCTCTAGATCCATCCACGTCTATACAAATGACCCAATTTCATTCCTTTTTATGGCTGAGTAATATTCCATTGTATATATATACCACACATTCTTTATCCATTTGTCATCAGAAAATCTACAAACAACAAATGCTGGAGAGGGTGTGGAGAAAAGGGAACCCTCTTGCACTGTTGGTGGGAATGTAAACTGATACAGCCACTATGGTGAAACAGTATGGAGGTTCCTTAAAAAACTAAAAATAGAATTACCACACGACCCAGCAATTCCACTACTGGGCATATACCCAGAGAAAACCATAATTCAAAAAGACACATGCACCCCAATGTTCATTGCAGCACTATTTACAATAGCCAGGTCATGGAAGCAACCTAAATGCCCATCGACAGACATATAGTGGATGTATTGGTTATCTATTCTTGCATAACAAGTTACTCTGAACGCAGTGACTTAAAACAACAATAAACATTACCTCACATAGTTTCTGCAGGTCAAGAATTTGGGAGTAGCCTAGGTCGGTGGTTCTGGCTCAGGATCTCTCATGAGATTGTCATTAAAATGCTATCTGGGGCTGCAGGGCTGTAGTCTTTTGAAGCTTGACTAGAGCTGGAAATCCACTTCTGAGATGACTCACTCAAGTGGCTGTAGGGAGGAGGCCTCAGTTCCTTGCCACGTGGGTCTCTCCTTAGGGCTGCTTGAGTATCCGCATGACATGGCAGCTGGCTTACTCCAGGATGAGTGATCTAGCAGAAAGCAAAGCAGAAGCTGCAATGTCTTTTATGACCTACCTTTGGAAGCTGCACTTTGTCATTTCTGCAATGTCTTATTAGTTAAACAGTCAGCCCTTTTCAAGTGCGAGGGGACATACAGGTGCATGAAGACTGGGAGATAATTAGGGGCTAATTAGGGCCATCTTAGAGGCTGACTACCAAAGTGGTTGACTCGCCAAAGACTGAATTTTGTTTTCTTCACTTCTGGAGAGAAAATGGTCAGTGAATCCCATTGGTGGTCTTTGAGATGTACCAAAGCTACCTCTTGCTCTCACCCCCAGATAAAGTATTATATTATTAATCAGCCTTTTGTGAATTTAGGCTGAAAACAGAAGATGCCAGGAAGGTTGGGACAACCTTTAGGACACAAATGTGGCAGTGCACGCTATCTGTGGGGGGAATGCCACATGACTCTCAGACATTTTCTGAGCACTTACTTTGTGCTAGGTATTATGGCTTATGTACAGGATCACACTGCCTCCTTGACTGTGAGGTGGGACCTATTTTTCTGTTTTACAGATGCAACAACTCAGGCTCAGAAAAGTGAAGTAACTTGCCTGTAAATGGTGGAGCTGGGTTGTGATCTCGGATCTGTTGAACTTTAGATCAGTGCTTCCCAAACTAAGACACATACAAATCACCCGGCAGGCAGTGGGATCGGCGGGGGTGGGGGGTTGTCCAGTTAAAGTGCAGAGTTGGTTTCAGTAGACTTTGACCAGGGCTGGGGTTCTGCCTATCTGACAAGCCCCCCAGGTGATGCTGACACTGCTGAGTCAGGGACTTCTGTCTGGTAAGGAGGCTGCAGAAGTGTCTCTGAATGACTACACCAAGGGTGAGGACTTCCAAGCAGCACAGTACCGGGCACAACTAGTTGTCAAACAAAAGGCAAAACTCCGCAGAGGGGAGCTGAAACCCACTACACTCAGTCCACGATGGAAGCACCTTGCAGCTGTGAAATCAGCAGATGGGCTTATCCCACTCACCTGAGGAAAGGATGAGGGTTGGTTTGAGGGGCTCCCCTGGGAGGCAAGGATTTCCAACCATGCCCTTTCTGAGGCCTCTTCCTTTTTCTGGGGCCACATGCTCCCAGTTAGCCATTACCTGGAGGTCCCTGAAGGCCATCTGCTTTGGGGAGTGCATTTGGCACCGGGCAGGAAGCTGTGTTTCCCAACCTCACCACACTGGGCTTTCTCAGTGAAACTTCCAAGCTGAGGAAGAGAGCTGGGGTGACGAGCTCTATGTGTGTGTGTGCGGGGGGGAGTGGGGCGGTAGGGAGGACTGAAGTGGCACCCTCAGCTGGGCTGGGGAGCTCTAGCTCTCCGCTCTTTTTTTGTCCCCTACAATTGTGGCAAGAAGATCAATCCTCTAAGAATGTGTAGTATTTCCCTGAGAGACAAGACAATGAGTATTTTTCTTAGCTCATCCAGGAAGTTAACATACAATACATTCTTAATGGCATTTAGGAGCATTTATTCAATTGTAACTAGTGTAACTAGTAATTCAGAAAGTGCCCAGTAATACTAATGTTATAGCACACTTGGAGTGCTTCCCTCCGAAAGCTCCAAGCATTTCCTCAGTTAGGCTTTGAGGATGATGCTGGCATTTGGCTACAGAAGCAAATCTGAATTCTTGTGGACTCTGTGTCCAGCGTTCATTACCCTTTGGTTTTCTAAGGCGAGGACCCAGTGGTTCACTTTCTTTCATCTTCAGATCATTTCAGTCACCCTCCAGCGTGATTCCTATAAGCCCTGGTAGGAACTTCAGAATCAAAAGGGAGTCACTCTCCATTTCATGGCAAACCTCCCTTCCCTCCACCCTCACAAAGCCTAGAGCCAGGGAGATTCCTGTTTGGCATTTAGACTGGTCAGACAAACCCTGTCTGGCTTTGCCACTTTATCAGCCACATAACCGTGGGTAAATGACATGACTTTCTACACTTTAGATTGCTCATAGTTTGCAGTCGATCCTTCTCAAACTCTTCCAAATAATTGCAGAGGGAGAAACACTCCCAAATTCACTCTATGAAGCCACCATCACCCTGATACCAAAACCAGAAAAAGATATCACAGAAAAAGAAAATTATAGGGGGCTTCCCTGGTGGCGCAGTGGTTGAGAGTCCGCCTGCCGATGCAGGGGACACGGGTTCGTGCCCCGGTCTGGGAAGATCCCACAAGCCACGGAGCGGCTAGGCCCGTGAGCCATGGCCGCTGAGCCTGCGCGTCCGGAGCCTGTGCTCCGCAACGGGAGAGGCCACAACAGTGAGAGGCCCGCGTACCGCAAAAAAAAAAAAAAAAACAAAACAGAAAACTATAGACCAATATCACTGATGAACATAGAAGCAAAAATCCTGAACGAAATACTAGCAAACAGAATCCAACAACACATTAATAAGATCATACACCATGGTCAAGTGGGATTTATCCCAGAGATGCAAGGATTCTTCAATATATGCAAATCAATCAATGTGATACACCACATTAACAAATTAAGGAATAAAAAACATACGATTATCTCAATAGATGCAGGAAAGGCTTTTGACAAAATTCAACACCTATTTATGACAAAAACTCTCCAGAAAGTGGGAACCTACCTCAACATAATAAAGGTCATATATGACAAACCCACAGCAAACGTCGTTACTCAATGGTGAAAAACTGAAAGCATTTCCTCTAAGATCAGGAAAAAGATAACGATGTCCATACTCTCCACTCTTATTCAATGTAGTTTTGGAAGTCCTAGCCACAGCAATCAGAGAAGAAAAAGAAATAAAAGGAATACAAATTGGAAAAGAAGAAGTAAAACTGTCACTGTTTGCAGATGACATGATACTACACATAGAAAATCCTAAAGATGCCACCAGAAAACTACTTGAACTAATCAGTGAATTTGGTAAGATTGCAGAATAGAAAATTAATGCACAGAAATCTCTTGCATTCCTATACACTAATGATGAAAAATCTGAAAGAGAAATTAAGGAAACAATCCCACTTACCATTGTAACAAAAAGAATAAAATACCTAGGAATAAACCTGCCTAAGGAGGGGAAAGACCTGTACTCAGAAGACTATAAAACACTGATGAAAGAAAACAAAGATGTCATAAACAGATGGAGAAATATACCATGTCCTTGGATTGGAAGAATCAATATTGTGAAAATGACTGTACTACCCAAAGCAATCTACAGATTCAATGCAATCCCTATCAAACTACCAATGGCATTCTTCACAGAATTAGAACAAAAAGTTTTACAATTCGTGTGGAAACACAAAAGACCCCAAATAGCCAAAGCAATCTTGAGAAAGAAAAACAGAGCTGGAGGAATCAGGCTCCCTGACTTCAAACTAAATCTTAACTTTTAAAAATATGTGTATCTACTATATTCCTAGCAGTGGGTAGAACTCAGCAGGGAACCCAGTGTTCAACAATTCATTGCTCCTGTCTTTGACAGTATGAAGGTATAAACGTAGCTATGAAACAGGACAGAATACAAGTGCAGATTGAAAAAGAACACATTGTACCTATGGAGAAAAGGCTGGGGAGGGGGTGGTACAGAAAGAACCATGTTGGAGAACTTGCATTTGATAACCCCATTAATAGCTAATAGCTAGTATTTAATGTGCATTTGTTACATGCCAAGCACCCTCACAAATCCTTCACACGCATCTCATTTAACTCTCTTCATTTTTTTATTGTGTTAAAAAAAAATAAGATTTACCATCTTAACTTTTTTTTTTTTTTTTTTTGCGGTACGCGGGCCTCTCACTGTTGTGGCCTTTCCCGTTGCAGAGCACAGGCTCTGGACGCGCAGGCTCAGCGGCCATGGCTCACGGGCCCAGCCGCTCCACGGCATGTGGGATCTTCCCGGACCAGGGCACGAACCCGTGTCCCCTGCATCGGCAGGCAGACTCTCAACCACTGCGCCACCAGGGAAGCCCCATCTTAACCATTTTTAAGTGTACAGTTCAGCAATATATTTTCATTGTTGTGAAACAGATATCCAGGACTTTTTCATCTCGCAAATCTGAAACTATACCCAATTATATAACAACGCCTTTTTTCCCACTTCCCCCAGGCAGTAATAACCAGCATTTTACTTTGTTTCTATTAATTTCACTATTTTAAGATACCTTATATAAGTGGAATTATGCAGTATTTGTATTTTTGTGACTGGCTTGTTTCACTTAGCATAATGTCCTCAAGCTTCATCCGTTTTGCAGCATATGACAGGATTTTCTTCCTTTTTAAGGTTTAATAATATGCCATTATGTGTATATAGTACATTTTGTTTATGTATTTATCTGTCGATGGACCTTTGGTTTGCTTCCACCTCTTGGTTATTATGAATAGTGCTTCTATGAACATGGGTGTGAAAATATCTCTTCAAGACCCCATTTTCCGTTCTTTTTGATGTATAACCAGAAGTAGGATTGCTAGATCATATGGTAGTTTTATTTTTAATTTTTTGAAGCCTCTAAACTGTTTTCCATAGTGGTTGCACCATTTTACAATCCTACCAACAGTGCACAAGTGTTCCAATTTGTCCGCATGAAGATCAAAACTTCTTTTCTTTTTTCCTTTCTCTCTCTTTCTCTTCCTTCCTTCCTTTCTCTTTCTTTTTCTTTCTTTCTTTCTTCCTTCCTTCCTTTCTTTCTTTCTTTCCCCATCCTAATGGGTTTGAGGTGATATCTCATTGTGGCTTTGATCTGTGTTTCTCTGATGATTAGTCATCATTATGCATCATTCCATATGCTTGCTGACCATTTACATTTCATCTTTGGAGAAACAATTATTCAAGTTCTTTGCACATTTAAAATCAGGTTATCTGATGTTTTGTTGCTGAGCTGTAGGAGGTCTTTATATATTCTGGATAGTAACTCCTTATCAGATATATGACTCGCAAATATTTTCTTCTGTTCT